AAAGAGGTCGGTGGCGCCCACCATGGGCACCCCGAAGACGTAGGGGATCTCGTCCCCGTGGGCCGCGTCTGCCCACTCGGGCCGTGCGTCCGTCTGGCAGTGGTGGTAGAAGGTGTAGAAGTAGACGGGCGACTGGTACTCGGCGTGGAGCTTGGCCGTGGCCACCGCCGGGGCCACCCACTGGTGGTCGGTGAAGAGGGCCAGCAACGTCTTACGCCTCATCTCCCCGTTGTCCCGGTCGGCCCAATCCGTGTACATGAACTTGATGGTCTCCCGTAGGATGTCCTTCCCCTCGGGGTAACCGTAGAGGTTGTCCACGAAGTTGGAGACGGTGAAGTCGAAGTAGGAGGCGGAGATGCCGTCCTCGCTCTCCAGCGAGTCCTCCACGAACTTCAGCCCCTCGCCCTGGTTGACGCCGATGAGGATGTCGTAGTTGAGGAACTCGCCCTGTTGCATCAGGATCTCGGGGTCGTCGGGCACCACGTCGCCGTCCACCACCGGCCCGAAGGCCACGTGGTAGCGGGCGGGTTGGACGTCCTGGTCCACCAAGGCGCGGAAGGGTTGACGTCGTAGGCACTCCACCGCCGCCCCCGTGTCCGCCCGTTCGCAGCCCACCTTGGCCGCCAGCAGCCGCGTGTACTTCAGCGGCTGGTAGTTCACCGACCAGCTGGAGATGGCCGTCCCGCTCTGCGCGATGGCCTTCTGGAAGAGACCTGTGGGAGCCGGGCGTCAGCCAGGGGCTGGGGGGGACGTGGGGATGGAGTCCCACCAGGCTGTACGGACAGGGGGACGTGGGGAGGGAGTCCCACCAGGCTGTATGGACAGGGGGACGTGGGGAGGGAGTCCCACCAGGATGCAGGCACAAGGGGACATCAATGGGAGGTGGTGGGCACATGGGGATGGAGTTCCACCAGGGGATTCAGGGGGTCCCAGGAGGGATTCGGGGGGATCCTGGAGGATTTGGGGTCCCCGGTGTCATGGGGGAGCCCCAGGAAGTGGGGAAGATACCTTCAGAGTGGTGGGAGAGGATGAGGAGGCTGACGCAGGCGGCGCCAGCGCCGGAACCGAAGATGGTGATGCGCTGGGGGTCACCCCCAAAGTGCCCCACGTTCTCGTTGAGCCACCGCAGCGCCTGGATCTGGTCCAGGAGCCCGTAGTTGCCCTTTGCCGCCTGGTCCCCCGTGCTCAGGAAGCCTGCGGGGACACGGGGACACGTGGGGACACGTGGGGAGATGTCCTCCCCCGTGGACCAGGTCATCAAAGCAGTAGCCCATGGTGTCCCCGTGTCCCCATGCCCAACCCATGACCCCAAGGAGGTTCTCCATGGTGTCCCCGTGTCCCCATGCCCAACCCATGACCCCATGGAGGTTCTCCATGGTGTCCCCGTGTCCCCATGCCCAACCATGGCTCCAAAGAGGTTCTCCATGGTGTCCCCACGCCCAACCCATGTCCCCAGAGAGGTTCTCCATGGTGTCCCCACGTCCCCACGCCCAACCCACGTCCCCAGGGTTGTTCCCACGTCCCCAGGGAGGTTCTCCGTGGCGTCCCCACGCCCCCGAGGTCGCCCCCCGTACCGAGGACGCCCAGGCGGTAGTTCATGGTGACGACGATGACGTTGCCGTAGGCCGCCAGCACGCTGCCGTCGAACATGT